TTTCAGACATGCTTCAATTCTCATTGCATCTAATTTAGCCACAGAGATGCAAACCATGCTAGCTCACTATGCTTCTATCTTCTATTCATTTGGAACTGTATATACTTCACCAAGTATGGTATTGGAAACCATAATGGTTCTTTATAGAACCAAAAGAAAACCCCATGAAAGAGAGGTATTATAAGAAGCTAGAATCCAATGGCTAGAGAGTAAAAATGAACTGCTCCACATACTTGGATTTACAAATTAATCTATCATATAATTTGAGCATCTTAAGTGGTAAAATATTTTGCTAATCGGCTCATGGATTTACAGAAGTGACTTCTATACCGGTGATGAGAGGTGATCCACCTAGCAAAAGCATCCTACTCAAGACTCAAAAATATATGGGATAAGCTTGACATGTAATGAGACTGTATTATTTATGATTACCATTAAACTAACATTTAGAACACTGTTCATTCCTGCAACATTTTTTACTTCAATTTTTTCTTCTTTTAAATCCACTTTGCTCCATAGCCAATACATAAAGAAAACAATGTCAGCATATAGGCAAGTTTTTGAAACATGATCCCTGTCAATTTGTTCTTAGCTGAAACATGCTATTATCAGAAAACTCAGCTGTCAAATATCTGTCCTGAAATCCTAACTAGAAGATAGTTTCTCCCCATCTTTACCGTCTATAAGCTATGGTTTAGCACAAGAATGTGTTGACAACAATTGAATCATGTAGTCAAGAATCACTCAAATTCTACACGAAAATATTCCCCCACAGAAACAGATTTTGGCAGCATTTAATTATCTAATTCATATCGGTTATACCATTAAGGTGCACAAGGAATTCTAGGAACTAATTAAGTTGTAGTACTCACCCTAAATCAAGCCTCAAACGTAATGCAATTGCCCTTGACACAGACAAACTGAAAACCACACAACAATATCGTTTGCGTAATATAATAGTTTTTCTTTGATCGGCAAATTTAGACTGCGTCTAAAGACAATATCAGAAGAGCAATAAGAGCAAATACTCACTTTCTTCCTACAAAACTTGAACAGGGGATTCAGAT